GTAAACAATCTTATGTTACCAAGTGAAAGGGGGTAGGAAAGGATAAATTTGGGAATTTGAGATTTGCAAATGTAGCCACTATATATAAAAATAGATTTTAAAAAACAAGTTTCTCCTATATAGTGCAGGGAACTATATTCAGTATCTTGTAATAACTTTTAATGAAAAAGATATGAAAGCAAATTTATGTATGTATATTTGCGACTGGGACATTGTGCTATACACTGGAAATTAACACATTATAACTGACTGTACTTCAGTTAAAAAAAAGAGAGAATGGAAATTGGAAATCAAAATCAAGAACAATGTTCTCTCTGGAGAGGCAGCATAACAAAGTTGTTGAGAAAATGGACTCTAGAGCTAGAGTTACTGGGTAATATAAGTTACCATTTAAGGATTAAATAAGTTAACGTCCATATAGCACTTCAAACAACACCTGGCATATAGTTAATGCTATGAAATATTTAATTAAAAATCAATTAAACTAATAAACATTTTCTCATTAATAACAGAACACTGGCAGGCATCTACCTCAACTCTCCTTTTACTTTGCTATACAGACAACATCTTAGCTGAGAACTTAGATACTAACAAAAGTTAAATTACCATCATGTATTTTTTTATTGTTTAATACTGAACTGTTCAGTTCAATATTCCATCCATGATGTCAGACACTTCCCAGAAAGTGTTTGGAATTTTTACTCACAGTTCAATTTTCATTCTGCACAAATAGCTATGGGAGAGCCCTTCCACATCACTGTCTCTCACAAAACTTTCCCTCATCAGAAGAAAGCCTTTTTGCTGGGTGAAAGTCTTCTGGGTTCTACTAGCCTCTGACTCACTTCCCTTCCTTTTGTCTTTCCAGTTTCCCCACAGCTAAGTCCACTGACTTACCAAGCTTAGCTCTACAGCTCTACCTCAGCCTCTGGAACAGACTGGCCTGGGATTTAACACCCCAGCAATTTCTGTCTGCCCCCTGCAACAACTCACTCACGTTCTGATGAAGGAGTTTCTGCATTTGAGGTTTCAAGTCTTTTGTGTGACCAGTTTACAGATACGGGTTTTATCTTGGCCTCTATGCCACATTTTAGGCCAGTACCTGCCAAGTACACTAGGCTAAACCTAAGATGGAAGCCCTGCCTTTCCCTGAACTATCTCTACATTCCTGCAGCCTAGCTGACTCTGAAAAGACCTCCCTGATATTTTGCTAGGTTCCAAGTATCACCTGCATTTGATTTCCCACTGCAGGGTAATGCCTGCATTTAGAAAAGTATATCATTTTACACCCTGTGTTGCCAAGCACTTGCAAAGAACACAAGGAGACTGTATGTCCCTTGACTATTGCTGAACTTCTAACACATTATATTAGACAGTTATCACCTACTTCTTAGTGATGCTGTCTGCTATAAATAATCAGCCACATAATACTGAAAGCTAAGATAAGAAATCAAGTGTTGCCCCTATTTGTCTCTATTTGCCCAGTTGAAATTGTGCTTAATTATATCAACGTTATCAGTTCAAAGGCTAACACTTTTTTGCCATTGCTTTTCATGTGACATTCTCTTAGAGCTATACCCATCTTAAATCAACCTCTCTGTTTCCATTCTGTTCTCCCAAGGTCTGTCTCTGTTTTTGCCCCTCTTAAATTTATTTCCTCAAAAAGCATCTTTCATTTTTTTTTGCAGTGACCTTACTATAGCTACAAATCCTTTTCTTACTCCATTCTGGATGTTATCTTATCATGCTGATGTTTTCATTCAGGGACTGACTGTACATGAAACTTGTTTACTAACATACCAGAAATTAGATATCCAAATGAACAGCGTTCTCCCTTGAAATACTTATGCTGAAAGCTATTGACTTATCCTAATAATGTTATGAACAATCAGAGCACTTCTGGAATTCCCTGAAATTTGCCAGTTCTGTATCTCTGCCCTTGTCCAAGAAGACCAAATCTATTTCTTTGTAAGTATTTGATCAAATACTGCAATGCCTGGCTAAATTACTATCCTCCAAAATTAAATTTACCTCCAAAGAATGAAAAATTGCTATTTCTGAGGAATTTTTTAGAATTACCTAGCCTTTGAAACTAATTACCAAAGTTTAAAATAAATGTTGAAAAAGCATCATAGCTAGAATAAATGAATGGCAGACTTGGTGTAACCTAACATAGGTATCTAACATTTAAGATTATTCTTTCACACATAAAGATAATTTCCTATCTTCTTACAGAGTTATTGTAGGGATAAAATGAAAAAGTATATGATATCTCTGAAACCCATAAAAAGTGAATAAATGTAAGATATTCATGTTCATGCCTTACTGCTGCAAATTCAAATGGATTCAAAATAAGTATTAAGACTTACTCATTTTGGGGACTCTGACTTAAGGATTATGTTGACAGTTTATTTTGCAGGAGGTGCAAGGTAAGAATCCAAGTTCTATTTTTTTTTAAATTATTTCTGTTTGCAATAAAGTTCTGTTTCTCAAGAAATTCACGTTTTGGAAAGTGAAACCTAACTCACTCTCATTGAAAAAAGGGAGGTGAAGGGAAATTCCATAACTCGGAAGCCACAATAAATATAAATAATACCTCTGATTCTGCAACATGGGACTTCCCCAAGGAACAGACAGCAGGCTTTGCCGAGTCAACTGTAGTATTATCCAATCAGAGTTAGAGAGGGAACGTGACTTTGCAAATAAATACTGCATCCTAGACCCACATTTTCTGAGACACTCCTCAACTCCTCAGACATTGGGAGCCTGCAGCAGAAGAACTTTCAGTCACGGCACCATGAACCAAAGTGCTGTTCTTATTTTCTGCCTTATTCTTCTGACTCTGAATGGAACTCAAGGTAAGGAACATCAAGGGATGTTTAATTTGTAAGATCAGAAATAGGACTGGGTGTAAAGTCTATAAATATGGAAATAACTTATTTGCAAAACTTCTACAATCTTCCTATAAATGAAGGGTAAATGAGCACAGATTCCTTCTAGTCAGAGTTTACAATCATAGAAAGAAGTGCAATGGAAGAGAAGGAGGAAGGTGGGAGCAGAAGAGGAAGAGGGATAGACAGAGAAAATGTGAGGGAATGAGGAAAGAGAATGAGACAGGTATTTCTTCAGTAAACTTAAGTAACTATATGACCTGGGCTCAAGGGTATAATCTTACAATCTACAAGAGGCAATTTCATTCTTTCAGAGAATCAACTAATCAGTCATACAGAGCTGTGTTAGTATGGGATCATTCCTTCTCAGATTAAGTAATTATGTGACTATATGGGGGTATAGAGTCTGCTGCGTACTAGCCAATCCACATCAAATGCCTAAAATGAAAACTGTGCTAACCTCCCCTGCTACACCTGTCTCTTTTCCTGCAGAAATGCTTCTCTCCAGAACTTCACGCTGCACCTGCATCAAGATCAGTGATCGACCTGTTAATCCGAGGTCCTTAGAAAAACTTGAAATGATTCCTGCAAGTCAGTCTTGCCCACGTGTTGAGATTATGTGAGTAAAACTGCACCTAATGATCACCTTCCTGGTTGTAATCATATATTAAATATGTAATGGTGATCACAGTAGATCAGTAAAGGGCTTGTGATGACTCTAAGACTTATGTATAGCAAAAGGAAACTTCTACTGTGAAACCTAAATGTCTGACGTTAAAACTGTATATTCCATCTGTTTTATTGGTCCAACATTGTTTCAAATATTTTCCCTTTATTTACTTCTATAGTGCCACAATGAAAAAGAATGGGGAAAAAAGATGTCTGAATCCAGAATCTAAGACCATCAAGAATTTACTGAAAGCAATTAGCAAGCAAAGGTAGGTTTGCTATTGCTTGTAGAACTGCTCTTTGAGAAATGTCAATCTTGGAAAGTTAGAAATATTTGCATTGGGCTTTCCTGTGGAATCCTTGGCTTAAAATAATATTACCACCATGCCCTCCACTACCTCCATCTATTTTTATACTAAGGTGTCATCTTGTGTGGTATCAAAAGCTACCTTGATTACCTGTCTAGAAGTGTCAATAGGTCACTTCAACCTTGAGGTAGAGCTATAACTATCCAAGCAAAGACGCCAAATTTCCCCCAAGCCTTTCCTGGCCTTAAAAAGGCAGCCCTTGTAACCTACATAAATTGTGCAGCAGCAGGAAAGCACACCAGATATTTCACCTCAGTACTTGGAATTATCTATGAATTCAGTGTGCTTCAAGCAGAACTCAGATTGTTTCAGAAAGAACTCAGACTGAAGTCAGAGTCTTTTACATCCTCTTTCTCTTCTTACAGGTCTAAAAGATCTCCTCAAACACAGAGAGAGGCCTAATCACTGCACTACTGATAATGAAGGACCAGAGAGAAGCTACCTCTGACAACATTTCCCTACATACAATATACATGAAGCCCTAAATGTCCATGGATTGCAGTTCTCCTAAAAGGTGACCAACCACAGTCACCAAATTAGCTGCTACCACCTCTGCAGGGCAGTGGATGGTTCATCATTAGTACTATACTATAAGCTATGCTGAGGCGCTACACTCTTAGTGAACATGCCAAGTCCTAGCCCTCACCTTTCCTATCTTCTAACGGTTATTACAGGATCCTTCCAACTCTGGGCTTATTAGAATTCTTAGAATCTCAAATAACTAAAAGGTATTCAATCAAAGCAATAATACAATACGCTTTTTAAAGAAAGATCTTTACTCTGTGGGCTTCTACTGCCATTCTTTCAAGGGGCCCACATTCTTCTGGTGGTTATACACACAATACACAGAAGCAGCTAGAAATATCTGGAAATGTGAAAACAGTATTATTTAGTGAAAGACTATACAAAGTAGAATCCTTAGGTGGATGTGTTTCTTATATTGTTTTCAGTGTTTATAGAATAACATGTAATAAAGTACTATGATGGAAGAAATTTTCAAATTTAGATACATGTTCTGCACATTATGTAAGACAAATGTGATGGATGCTTTTAAAAACAAAAATGATGTTCTCTCCTAGAAATATTAAGAAAGATTATTTAACTGCTTAGAGACCAAAAAACTAATAAAGTAATTATAACTAAGATGAAGTATCTGGTGTGTCACTTGACTGGCATATTTACTTCATAAAAAGTTTGGATTGGAGAATCCTTAGCCTAGAGAAGAAGTAGAGGATGGGCAGAGGACAAATGAGTCTGAGAATTACCATATTCCTTCTAATTATAGTCTCTTAAAAGGGCCATCATTTGGCATAACAGAGGCTTGGCTTGAGCTTCAGATCCTGAGAAACAACTTTCTATGAGACATTTCCAACTGGATAAACATAGGAAGATCAAACTGCAAAATATCTTAATTCCTCTCTCCCCTAGATCTATATCTCCTCCTCTATTCTATACCCCAGTTTAACAGCACCATCATCCACTCAGTTCCCCAAACAGAAATCTGGGAGTAACTCTACTCTCCTTCTCCCTCATCTCCCATATCCAATTAATCACTAAGAAGGTATTTCCAATGCATTTAGTTAACAAATTACTAGTATCTAGAACATATAAAGAACTCCTATGAATAAAAAAGGAAAAGGTAGACCACCAGTTGAAAAACAAGAAACAGAAACGAATAGGAATTTCAAAAAAGAAAAAAGCACAAGCCCTTAACATATGAAAAAATGCTCAACACTTCATTAGTAATCAGGGACATGTATATTCAAATCATTAAGGCATACTATTCCATACCACCAGACTAGAAAAAATCTTTAAGTTGGGTAATACCAAGTGTCAGGAAGGTATCTAGAGCAATGAGGAATGCTCTTCCACTTCTAGTGGAAGAGAAAATACCTATGACTACTATAAAAACCAATTTAGTATATCTTACACAACTTAACATGGGCACACTCTATGCCCTAGCAATTCTACTACTATGTATACACCATAGATAAATTCTTACATATGACATATACAAGAGAATGTTACAGCAGCATTGTTTGTAATGATAAAACTCTGGATATAAACCCAAATGAACATAAATAGAATAGATAAGTAAATTAGGTATGTTAATTCAATGGACTATCACACAATGTGGAAATAAATGAAATACAACTCTACACATTAACACGGATGAATTTCAAAAATAATTCTGCACAAAAGAAGCATCACAGAAAAGTATACGCAGCATGATTCCATTTACTATAAAGTTTTTAAGCAGGCAATGTAAACGCTGTGCACAGACCTTTGAACAACATGAGTTTGAACTACGTGGGTCCACTTATAGTTCTTTCAACACATACTACATGATCCACAGTTGGCTGAATCCACAGATGTGGAACCACAGATACAGAGAGCTGACCGTAAAGTTATACATGGATTTTCAACTGTAGTGGGGACGGCTGGTGCCCCTAATCCCTGCGTTGTTCAAGGGTCAGCTGTATTTGGGAGTGAAGACATATATGATGAAAACAAAAAACAAAGGAATGATTCCCATAAAATTCAAGATGGTGGTTATTTCAGGAGGCAAAAAGGAAACACAATCAGGGAAGAGCACATAAGGAGCTTCTGGACTATGGTAAAGTTCTATTTCTTATCCAGGTAATGGGTGCATGAGAATTTGCTCTTTAATCTGTACTGAAACATTTTAATTTCTTAATAAATGCTCTATGTTACATTAAAAAGGTGAAACAAACTAGCAAAGAAACAAAAAAAATTCCAGAATACTACCAACTGTGAGATGTGTTCATGAATATCAAGCAATTTCACATGGCAAAATGAAAGAATAAGAGAGCTATCAATGGAGATATAATGCACAGCATAATAATGCTGTATTGCATATTTGAAACTTGCTAAGAGAGTAAAACTTAGAAGTTCTCATCACAAGGAAAAAAATCTGCAACTATGTATGGTGACTGATATTAGACTTATGGTGTTCATTTCACAATATATATAAATATCAAATCATTAGGTTCCACACCTGAAACTAATATAATGCTGTATGTTAATTATACTTCAATAGGGGAACCTAAAAAAAAATCTAATGCAATATCGGGGAGAGGGGAAGAGAGTGGGAGAGAGCACACACACACTCTCACATTCAGGTATATAACAAAAGAATATAGTATATGACCATTACTATGAAAGCCTTAACTGGATCACAGCAAAAGTGAGGTGGCAGAATTTCTTTCTGCCCTTTCATTTTGTTTTTCTTTCTGACCCTCTAAAGCTATACAAAAGGTCACCTATATTATTCTCAACTGACTGCCAACTGATTTTCAAGAAAGTGTTAACATCAGAGATTTAAATTGCTCTCTGTTCAGAAGTAAGGCATTCATTTAACAAGCATTTATTTATGCCCATTACAGGCCAGGTTTTAAGTTCATAAGGTTATGAGTTTATAACTCACTATTAATGACAAAAACTAAGGTAAATAAATTTGAAGTGAAAACACTCCATGGACTGAAATACTTCCAAATGTACAAAAAATAGAGAAAATCGGGAAGCCTTTCCTGGGAAAGTGATGGTGATCTAGAATTTGAAAGACACGTATGTATCTGATAGGTTGAAGGAGAAAAGTAAACTCTAGTAGAGGAAAGAACATGTACAAAGACATAGGCGTGAAACAGCACAGTGTGTTCAATCTGGAAAAATGTAACTTTACAGTTAGAGGTATGGATATTGTGGGAAATGATGTTGGAGACACAGATAAGTAGATTATGAAATCCTTTCTATTCTTAGTACACCATCAACATCATGATATATTTATAAGCTATATACATATCATAAAAACACACACAAAAAATATACAAGATTGCTAGACTATGCTGTAGTAACAAGGCCCCCCATATATTAAAGACCTAACACAATGGAAGTTTATATCTTGCTCACACAAAGTTCCATGCAAGTTGGCAGGGCCTCTATGCTAACTCAGGAATATAGCTTCCTTCTATCTCAATCGAGAGTTACCATGACAAAAAGAGAAGGATGGAAGTGGCACACTGGTTCTTAAATGCTACACTCCACATTACCTTGTCCAGAACAAGGTGTTTTGCCTTCCTTAATTGCCATGAGGGATAGAAACTTATAAGGAAAAGTGTACTTGTCTCTTCCACAAATACAAAAAATCTTAATGAGATTTTTAAAATTGTAACATAAGCCAGAAAACAAGACTCATGAAGAAATCTAGTTCAGAAAGAGAAATCTAGGCAGATATTTAAAAAAATAAAAGTCTCTCCATTCTTAGAGTAAGTTGGTAAGAGGTGAAGAAGAATGTCTTTTCTGAGCAGAAAGCTCTCCATATTTAATGTAAATAAAATTTGATGTAAATAGTGAATAAAATGGACATGTCCACTACATTATGGTAAATCTCAGCAGGAGAACCTCTTTTTCTGGAGAAATATATGGGACACAATGAACAGTATGTTGTAACCTGATCTAAGAACACTGGCCTCCTACAAAGATGGGAAATGGGAAAGGGAAAAATGACTGTAATTTTGCCTCTTAATTTTCTTTGTCAGACTATACGTAGTTAATTCTCTGTCCCAGATCTAGAGAACTGACTAATACTGTTCTCCCTCCATTCAGAGACTGGATGGAACTTCAACAGGGCAGTAAAAATAAAACAATACTGAACAAGTCATTAAAGCTTGTGTGGGCCTCTTTTTTCTCAAATAAAAGGGAAGTATAAATAGCAATCTTCCAGAATGTTGCTGACACAAATAACTCAATAGTCAATTAAAACACTACTTTTAGGTGACATAATTATACATAATTTTATTTCTTTATAACTTTATTTTCTAAGTTTTCTACAAAGAATATTTTTTACTGTCCTTAAGTAGAAGAAAAAAATTAAAGAAACTGAAACTAATTTTCAAAGATTGAATTTTAAGTGCCAATCTTAAAAGGCTAGAATTTATGTTCTTAGTGACCTTCATGAAAACTAATCATCTCTGAAATAGATCTGAACTGAAAACAGTCTCACAGATACCAAAACGTCTTTCTCCACACTAGACTAAAAACTTAATGGCTTGTGTTAAATAAAAATTATTGATCTATTAGTGAATATATTTCAGGTCACCAGATAATAATGTGTGGTCACCCTGCTTACTCTCTTGCCTGCTACAGTTTATTCACTACACAACAGCCAGTTACTTATAAAACATAAGATTATGGCTCTCCCCTGATTTCATCTTCCAATAGCATTCCACCACACTTCAAATGAAATCCAAAATCCATCACAGTCTGTAAGGCTCTGCATAACTCTCCCACCTTATTCCTACCACTCTCTGCCTCCACCTTTCTACTCCAATTATACTGGCTTCCGACTGCTGCTCAAGTACAGCAAAAGTACTCCCATCACTTCCACACTCACTCCCTCACTTCATTCCTTATCTCTGTTCAAGTATCACCTTCTCAGAGAAGGCTTTCCTCACCAATCTATTGAAAATAGCACCATTTCTATCACTCTCAGTCTAATTATTCTTTCTTATAGCTTTTATCACTATCTGTAAACACAGCTGATCTTTGAACATTTCAGCAGTTAGGCATACCAACCTTCACCAACACAGACAAAAATCCAAGTGTAACTGTCAAGTTGGCCCTCCAGTTCCATGGTCCCCTATATCCACAGTTCCACATCAATGGATTCAACCAACCAGGGAACAGTGTAGTACTGCAGTACTTATTGAAAACAATCTGCTTATAAGTGGACTCATGCAGTTCAAATCCATGCCGTTCAAGGGTCAACTGTGTATATTTATCGGTTTATTCTCTATCCCCACAAAGCTGTATAAAAGCTGGGACTAGACCTGTCTAACTTACATTGTATCCATAGTATTGACAGGAACATTGGGTGCACCATAATGCTCAACAAATACCTGCTGACTGAATGAGTAACTGAATTACTGAAATTTGCCATAGCTTGAATCCTTTGGAAATCAGCATTCTCTCCAAAGACAGGCTAACTTTCCAAAGACATTAGATAACTCTTAAACTTTAGGAGAAAGTAAACTTGGAAATAAAGAGAAGCTTACTACTTTTGTTGAATCACCAGATAGGCACAAAAAGAATGATGGCCTTCTCCCATTACAATATTCAATATG